GCTTCCGTTGGAAACGAACTAAATCCCAAAACGGCTAGTACACCGCCGCTCTCCCAGGTGTAAGCTAGTCCGACAATTGGTGGGGATTCCGTGGATTTCACCCTAAATCGTGAAACAATCAGTCCGTAGTTTCGACACTACGTGTAACAGAAAACGCGACCTACAGATAAATCAGTAATCCTGGCCGAAAGACGCGAAACAAGAGTTAAAGCACTACAACGGCAAATCAGAATTCACCGACGACTATATTACCAACATTGTTATATACACGAAAAAGTTCCTGACCAGCACCCGTTCAAAGACGAAGCTCTAGACGAATTTGCCACTCCAGCGTGCAAAGATTGCTACCCATTCGAGGGAGAATACAGCGAAGCATTCAAACAATATTGCGATATACTCGACCCTTTTAATATACGTACATCGCAACGAACACTAGAAAAATTCTATAATTATCAAAGAAGCGAGGATAAATACGCGAAAGTAATTGAACTTTTAGAAACAACCGCATTTGCCGAACCCCCGCAGCATATTTCCTCTTTAGTTAACGCATTAACCTTAACCAAAGGGACGCGGAAGACAATAAATATCGCGACTGAACCAAAACTAACCGCTGAGCAAGTGCAAGAATTAAAACAACAAGTTGAACAATTTTTGGCTAGAAAACTCGCGACCTACGAACAAGCAAAGTGGAAAGGCAAAAACCCAGAACGAATAACAATCGACAGTACAACGGCTAACGCGTCAGACGAGGACAGTAATAACCACCAGTATTATACCCCAGAGCCTGAGAACGAGCAACAGTACCCAACATTAGCAGAAGTTACGGGAGCAAAATATTACCAACAAATAGAGGAAATTACTAGAGCAGTAAGCAATTTCGCAAGAGAATACCAAAATCCGTTTAATCAAGAAGTGCCGCCAGTAGACTTGACAGAAGTGTTCAGAAATCTGAAAATTCCGAAAGGTCAAAACCCTGAAGGAAAAGAGCAGATAACACTCGCGAACGAACAGGAGGAAGGAAATAATCAAGTCGGAAATCCAGAACCAGACCAAGAAAACAATCAGCCTAAGGACAACGAGAATCAAGATCAATCCAACGAAGACGAAGCTTTACCTAATATCGTACCCCAAAACAACCCTCCAGTAGTAGCTGATAACTTACCACCACCGTCTCCGGCATCATCAAATAACGGCTCTCAGCCTGCCACTCAACCAAATTTACCACCAGGAACACCACCACACAGCCCTCACTTACATCCAGCTCAACTAGACGACGAAGAAGAAGAAATGACATCAGTACCATACCCAGTCTTCGATGGTACCAACCCCAAAGCATGGCTCGCACAAATGGATAGAGCTCTTAAGGCTAATGGAGTAAGAGACGATAATGATGACAAGCGCTTGGGAATTGCTGCATGCCATATGGGACCATATCAAGAATGGATTGGCCTTTCAAACCCACCAATAACTCGTTGGACCCATGCTGGAAATCCACAAGGATTCGTACAAAGATTTACTACAGAATTCTTTACAATCGATACTAAAAGCGAAGCAATGGAAATTGCTAGCAGAAGGTCTCAAAAACCAGGTGAATCCATTGATGTTTACAGAGCAGCCCTAGAGAAAATTTGGCAAGAATGTGATCAGGCGGAATTAACGGACAATAGGAAGCTAAGAATGTTCCTAAATGGGCTTACTCCAGCAATCCGAATGTCGGTAAAGCAAACCCAACCAGCAAATCTGGCAGCAGCTCTAACTACAGCAAAAGCTCATTATCGTGCTGTAAAAGAAGAAATGCAACCCCAATCCTCGTCCTCAGCGGAAGTGAATGAAGTACTGGCGGGAGAAATTAAAGAACTTAAAGAAGAATTAGCAAGGCTCAAGGTTAATCCTCAAAGGCAACAGTACCAGCCTCAGCAACGGCAGTACGCACCACAACAGCGTTACGTACCTCAACAACGGCAAAGACAACAAATCATTAATATCAAGTGTTTCTATTGTGGAAAACCAGGACACAGACAGTTTGATTGCAGACTCAAAGACCTACACATGAGGGAAGGAAGAAGATTAGAATGGAGAGGTCGTCCTCAAAACCGACCAGAGGAACCAAGACAGGGAAAAGGTCAGCCACGTCAGTAGAGGGCACTGACAGTGGCATTACCAAAAGACCCTCGCAAGGTGCAAGGCAGTATGGGGATGCCGATGTTTCGGGTCCGACATATTGTCAAGCCTTTGTGGAGGAAGAGGAGAGTAGGATTCTAGTCGACACTGGATCCTCAGTAACCATCATCTCAGCCAAATACTTCGATAAGATTTCTGGGAAGATGAAAGAAAGACCTGTCTTAGTAAACGTAGCATACAAGATCCAGGGAGTAACAGGGCACTTAGAACGACCGAAAGGAGAAGTGAAGAAGTTACCTCTCAAGTTCGAAAGAAACGGACCAAGCTGGGAATTAAACGCGTGTATAATGGAAGTGACGACAGCAGATATAATATTAGGAACCAACTTTCTTATCAAACATCAAGCAACGCTAGACATACCGAACAGGCAGCTTGTTCTAACAAAAGCGAATGGAATTAGAGAAACAATACCGTTAGTAGAGAAAACCCAACTACCTCACGTCCGACTGGTAAACATTGCCGAAGCAATGGACATTGACGACCCACATCCAGAATGGAAGTGTGCAAATGGACCCAAGTACTATCGATGTATGACTACCTTCATACCTGATGATATGGAAGACGATCGAGAACCGTGCCATAAATGCTGACCTAGACTAAATGAAGAAGAAGAATATGAACGTCAGAAGCATAAGTATAGCAGCTATAAATATACAGCTCACAGCGACAGCTGCGCATCAGTCTATCGACATGGAAGAAGTCAAAAGGAAATCGGGAAGGCATACGATATGTATGTGCCTGGAACCGAATTGAAACCCAATGGAGATATAGTCGATAAGGATACGATCTATGGGAATGTAGGGAAAGACTGGACCATATACCATCCGAATTGGAGAGCTACTAAGCAGAGGAAGAAGGACCCACTCTACGACCAGCGATCTCAAGCCTGGAGAAGAATGTTTGTCGATTTTCCGGAAGAAGATGAAATAGCAAGGGACGCGCTATCGGCTTACGAAGAAAAACATTCAGCTAAAGAAGTCTATCAGTTAGAAGTACCGTACATTATACAAGCACATAAGAAGCGACAAGTTACCTGCGAAATTCAAGAAACCTACTGCGTTATAGATCAAGAACCAGTGGAATGGAGTGAAATAAAACAGATGCAGGCTAAATTTACTCGAAGACCAGAAGCTAGGAGACCACCTTTTCACTATAAAGGACCAGGGACTCAGTGTTGGCATAACACTTACCAAGAAGACCCAGAAGACTATTGCGACCATTGTCTATGGATGATCCAAACCTGTAGAGTTATAGCAGCATTACCAGAAGAAACGCTGACCAAGCTCGAAGACACGGAGAAAATCAAGGCACGAATTCGGCTCTTACCTCGTGAAAAGATTACGGCACCTTTCCCAACGAATTGGCAAGAATTAGGTCTCATCAAGTATCAACGATGGAGCCATAATGCTAAGCCACCCAAGGCAAGTTCGAAGGGATATGTGTTGTATTCAAATCAAGATGTGTCAGTATATGGATCAGCCACAATAACTACAGGCATAGGACTCCAATTGCCCCGGAACACTACAGCAATAATGGTGCCTCTTGACGAGCCAACAAACTACATAGTGTCAAATCTAAGAATTGGTCATAACCAGCGAGTGGAAGTTTTTATCATCGCTCCATTCCCAACCACCATCAGAGCAGGGCAACCCATAGCTTGCTTCACTTTAATATCAGTGCTACAACTAGAAACTGAGTTAGTAGCAGCAGGACAAAAAGTACAAGAATTACCATCACCATTCCTCAAGAGTCTAACTCCAGATCAAAACCAAGAGTTAGAACATCTTCTCGACGAATACAAGGATGTGTTTGCTGAAGATCTTATATCACTAGGGCAAACCACTATTGTACAGCATCGAATCGATACTGAAGAAGGGATGGTAGCATACTCCAAACGGTACAAGCAATCCTGGGAGAATGAAGACTTCATTGAGGCTGAAGTAAAAAGAATGTTAGAAGCGAACATCATCAAAAGAGTAGAAATTGATATCGATGACGAAAATCCAGCACCAGAATTTGCAGCCCCAGTGGTAATCGTAGGGAAGAAAGATGGCAGCAAACGGTTTTGCGTGGACTATAGACGGCTTAATGCCATTACCAAAACTAACCCATATCCATTACCAATAATCGACGAAATATTCGGCAACATTGCTAAAAGAGGAACAAGGCCACAGTACTTTACGGCTTTAGATCTAGCGAGTGGATATTGGCAAGTACCGGTTCACCCCGACCACATTCACAAGACCACATTTACTTGTCATCTCGGATTATTCCAGTTTGAGCGATTACCCTTTGGACTAAAGAATGCACCAGCATCATTCCAGTGCATGATGGATCTAGTATTTAGAGACCAGATTGATAAACATATGGCAGTGTTCATCGACGACATCAACATCTACTCTCAGACCTTCAGAGAGCATATCAATCATATCAGAGCTACTTTTGATAAGTGTAGAAAGTATGGTTTGAAGATAAAGAAGAAGAAGTGTCATTTTGGATGTGAAAAGTTAGAATTTTTAGGACATATAGTTGGAACAGATGGACTTACGGTAGATGAAAGGAAGATAGAAGCAATCAGAAATTACGGCGAACCAAAGAATGTGCGACATATCAGGCAATTCCTCGGCATGACTGGCTATTATGCCCGATTTGTCAATAGATATCAAGAAATAGCAGCACCATTGATCAAATTAACTCGGAAACGGCAGAAGTTTGAATGGACCTTAGCTCAACAGAAGGCAATGCAAGAATTACAAGATGCTTTGACTATAGCACCAGTACTGGCATACCCGAACATGAAAATGCCATTTACCCTGACAACAGATGCATCAGATTTTGGGCTAGGAGCCATCCTATCCCAGATCGATCTAGAAGACAAGGCTGATTATGCCATAGCTTATGCATCCAAGGCTATGAATGCATCAGAAAAGAATTACAATACGACTCATAGGGAAGGATTGGCAGTAAAATGGGCAGTTGAGAAGTTCAAGCGATACCTCAAGGGAAGACTCTTTACCATACGGACGGACCATGCAGCATTAGTCTCTATCATTCAGAAGCTCGAACCAAGCGGACACGTAGGAAGATGGGCCATGAAACTCCAAGAATACGATTTCAAAATAGAGTATCGACGCGGCGTCGAGAATGAAGTCGCCGATGCTCTCTCTCGAGACCCAACCTTTGAATCAGAGAGTAAATAAGTAACCCACATCATGGACCCACAAGCCTACGAAGAACTCAAGGCAAAAGCACTTACTGATAGAGGACTGAAAATCCTGAGAGGAGGACTATACATTGAACAAGGACCAAACAATTGGAAGAAGGTAATCCAACGCCCCGATCAAGAAGAAATCATACGAGCTATCCATGAAGGCAAGGCAGCTGGACATTTGGGAAAGAAAATCACAGTCAAAAAGATTAAAGAACGATACTGGTGGCCTGGAATCTCCAGAATGGTTCATCAGTTCGTCTCTACCTGCGATCCGTGTCAAAAAGAAAAGAAGCCCCAGAAAGCCAAGGACATCTATCCGATTATTGCAGAACGACCGTTTCAAATAGTCGGAATCGATCACGTTGGACCTTTAAATACGACTAAGGAAGGTTACCAATACCTCATCGTAGCTCAAGACTACTTCACCAAATGGCCGATTGCATTACCCACTAAAACGACCAATACGGAAGAAGCATTAGATTTCCTCTGGAAAGAGATATGTACGATCTATGGTATACCAGAACAAGTTATCACTGATCAAGGTACAGCCTTCACCAGTGAGAAATGGAAAATGACTCTACCTACGTGGGGAATCAAGCATACTCCAACCACAGCAGCAAATCCGCAAGCAAACGGCCAAGTCGAAAGGTTCAACCAAACTTTAGTAAAAATGCTCCGCAAAACCATTGGAGTTAGAACGAATTCATGGGCAGACAATCTTCATGGAGTACTGTCAGCATACAGATCATCAGTACAAGCAACGACTGAACGAACTCCAGCAGAATTACTATTTGGATATCGTATGAGATTACCAATCGAAGCCATCCATCCAATCCCAATCGACGAATTATTAGATCAGCCAATCGACCGCATCAAACAATTAGAAGCATTGCATCATAAACGAATTGAAGCAGCAGAGTTAATCAAAAAGAAGCAAGAACGAGTTAAACAGCTATGGGAATTCAACAAGGGACCAGCCACCCCACTAAAAGTTGGAGACCTAGTTTTATTGTATGCACCAGCACATAAACGGAAACTTGAACAAGCAGCCGAAGGACCATTCAGAATCAAGCAAGTCGGAAAGAAAGGAACGTATGTATTGGAAACCCTAGGGGGGGATACATACAAGAGAGTAACCAGGAGAAGACTGATTAAGTACCATGACAGAAATGAGGCTCGAGTAGTAATAGAGCAGGGAGAATCGAGCCAAACCCTAGTATGAGATAGACCCCTTTTATCATCATCGATAATCAAGAGTCCCGTTGGAACGCGATTATTCTAAGTTGCGAATTGAACTTAGTAGGGTAGAAGTTTGAGTTGTTTCACATTACATCACTATTTATTATTTATCATTATTATATCCATAGTATTTTATTATTTACCTTTTATTTCGATATATCCTGTAACTGAGTCCTGTCAAAGGGATATGCTAGGGCAGTAGCAACCCCAGCACAACAATTGTACTTGTGTGCAGTTTAGGCTGCACAGTAATTTTTGTACTCGGATCTTGTCAAAGAAAACGGATATATCGGGAAAACAGCATCTTGTCAAAGAAAACGGATATAAAAGGAAAACAGAGGCCTGTCTAAGAAAACGGATATATCGGGAAATTGTCAAATTAGCCAAGGTTATGCTAATTTAGGCTGAAGATCACAAGTATTGAATCAGGGAATACAAGGGGAAACCATTTATGAAACACCGCCCGAATTAGGCCAAATTCTTAGACAGTGATGTAATAAGCGAAAAGTGTTTGGAAGACAGGATAGATTGATTCCCAAATCCTGTGGGATAATTGGTTTGCCATCGCTTGGCACACACATCGGCAGATTATAGCTCTTACCGGTTAAGGGTAACTGAAGATAGATGAAGGCGTATGAACGTTCTACGATCGAATCTACAAGACTAGAACCAGTAATATTAATGGCGAGTTTGTATGACAGAAGGGACGCCAGAAGTTATATAAACCGCGCTTGACCTTCTCCAATTCCTTACTTCACAAAACTGAGAATCCGGCAAGTACCTCAGATATATCAAACAAACACTTCAACTGAAAGCCAACTCGAACTTAATCAAACAACAACACCAACCAACCTCAAGCAAGAAGAATGACTGAAAACACCAATGGACAAACAATCGTATATACCTTCGTCGCTCCAGAATGTGGAACCAACATGTGCATCGACAACAACAGTCCGCCTAGCTACCGAAGCCGATTCAATCCACACAATGACTACACCCATACCACCGAGGATGTACTTAGAGCCATCCCTAGAATATGGGCACCCAGATATCATACCTACCATGAAGGAGCAAAGTACTTTGTGGTTAGAAGACGAGAAGACGGCTACATGGTGGCAGGATTCCTCAAGGAACGAGTCCGAGCATTCATCCGCAACAACCCGCAGCAATGGGAGATGGAATGCATCAATGTCAACATGTCCATCGACTGCGCCAGAGGAGCCCAACTCGGAACCGATGGGCACTGGATGTTATATTTACCCTTCCTCAATCGACCAACCTATACTCACCACAGAACAGTACATGGACCTGGCAACATTTCTTATTCCCTCAGAGACGAAGGAGAAGTCGTCTTTGAATGCGACATCAACGAATGCATCGACTTATGGAGAGATGTCAGAATCGATCAGTGGACGGTACAATCACAACGAACAGTGGCATTATTCATCTACTTTGCCGCTCACCCCGACGGATGGAACGCACCAACCCCATTCCCTCCACCACCTCCACCATACTCACCAAGAGACTATAGACCAGAGTCTCCATCCTCCAACCATGACGATACCAACATGGATGATACCGATGCTGATGACAACAGTGACAACAACGACAGCCACAGTAACCCCGGACCTGTCGATACCAGCCAGCTCCAGCCACATAGAGGAAGCACCCCTGACGATGCAATCAGTGTTACCTCAGATGCAAGCACAGCCACAGCAGTCGATCCCATTGAAGAACCAAATGAACTCGACGACATCATCAGTACTAGTGGATTCTCCAGTGTCATCAGTGACATCCTCAATAACGAAGACGAATGGAATGCTGCCCCAACAGCAGAATCAAGAAGAGGATCCCATTACAACGATGATGATGCAATTCTCGAATGGAGAAATAGAAGTCCTTCTCCAGTGGCTGAAGCAGAAGGAACAGCACTGTACAGAGTCGATGGAAGAGACAGTGTTAATGACTTCAGAGAATTGGTCACTATCTATGATTCCAGCAGCGACGACGAACCAGCCAGACCACCAAGCCCAGACTATGTGGTCTATGAACGAACCTTTATGCCCGAAATCACCAGAGTCAGACATATGGGAAATAGTAGTAACCTCTCCAGATCCCAGTTTGATAGAGATATCTCAGAGTCCCGAGCCACTATCACCGAACAGTGCAGATCTGAACTACCCACATGGAGATTGGAACCAGAGCGATTCCAGCAGTACCACGGAAAGCCATCCAATTTCCAGCCCTTGGGATACAGATATAATGAAGACCATGTCCACAGAGAAGACTACTTTGACCACGACTACGACCTGGATGAAAGAGAGTGATACGATTGAAAAGGGGAGAAATGAGGAGTTAGTTGTAGAAGGAGAAAGGGAAGAAAAGAGTAGTAAGAGAAGTGGCATAAGAGGAGGAGTGATAGAATATAGCAATGTCATAGAAGAAAATGTAGGAGTAGGATGGGATGTTAAGAAGTGGAAAGAAGAAGTAAAAGGGTTTGACTTGGACTATGCAAGCCCTGAGGAAATAGAAGAAATGCTGAAGGAAGCAAAAGAAGATTTAAAAGGACAATTCTACGACAAGAAACTAGCATACAAATGGGGAAAAGAAATGGATAGGAAGTTTCATGTAGCCAAAATAGCATGGAAGGTACTCGGAGAACACTTAAGGCTGAAGTTAGTTCAAACTTATCGCCTATACAAAGGATGCGAAGAGGACATGGAAATGGACAAAATTACCTCAAGACAATTAATGCGAATGTCCTCAAGCCAAGTTAACAAAGAGAATAAGAGGCGAAGAACTCTTAAACGGCTGAATTCGCTCCAATAACGATCGGAATAGGGGGGGATTCTGTCAGGATCAAGGTTAATACGACGTATTCCTCCGTGATTTCCGCTCCGTCACACGAAATTCTCCGATTCCGCAGCCCACGAAATCTAAGTGACACAGCCACCGATAATTGTGCAGCATGGTACAGATGTTGCCAAAACAGGCCAAAAACTTAGTCAAAACGTACTAGTCCACTTATATCCAAATTCTTAGACAGATATAAATAGATTGTCCAGATATATCCAAAAAGTTAGTCAAGATGATCTAGACGTCTGAGAAAGGGAGAACAAGGATTATGTACGACTTTCTCCATATATCCAAAAACTTAGACAGCTAGTGGAACGATAATAGTTATAAATACGAGTCGTAGATAGTAATTAAAATCATCTTCAGTTCATCTTCAGATCAGAGAATTCAGCAAGACGTTGCTATTAGATAGTTCTTTATAATCTAATAAATATCCAATTTAACTATAATCTTTATTTCGTTCATTCCCTGATAAAAGATACAAGCATCGTTGGTGAAGTGTTAGACGCTTTACCCATCAACGGTGAATAGAATTTATTCTTGCCGATAAATTCTATTGAGTACTCTTGCAATAGGGTTATTGTTTAATTAATAGTCGACACCTATAGTAGTATAATTCCCCGTTCGATAGGCCGTAGAACTAATCCAGCTACGGAAATCGCTGAGATACTCGAGTTTAAGCAATAACCTAGGAAAAGCGTGTACAAAAGCGATAACCTACATCGTGAGTATTGAAAGCCTGAGTTTAAAGGTCACTAATTGTACGTATTTAGTTTTAAGTAGGAAGAGCAAGAG